TGTGATTGTTCGCATCTGTTCTCAAAATTTCGGTGATCTAATTATATTCATATTTTTATATTATAGCCCATATGTATCTCAAACTATCGGTGATCAGAGTTTCACTGCGTGCGATTGCTCGCCTCTGTTCTCAAACTATCAGTGATCTGAGTTTCACTGCGTGCGATTGTTCGTGTCTGTTCTCAAACTATCTGTGATCTGTGCTTCACTGCATGCGATTGTTCGTGCCTGTTCTCAAACTATCGGTGATCTGAGCTTCACCGCATGCGATTGCTCGCGTCTGTTCTCAAACTATCTGTGATCTGAGCTTCACTGCGTGCGATTGTTTGCGTCTGTTCTCAAACTATCTGTGGTCTGAGCTTCACCGCATGTGAATGCTCGTGTTGTCTTGTTGCAGTCGGCCCGCTGCTGATGGTGTTCTACATCGCCGCGCTGAGCTCTGCCGCCCCTCTGCCGCCGCCGCAACCGTCGCTGCCGGCGCTGCTGTACGCGCTCGGCGTCGCGCGCAGCCTGCGCAATGTGTGGCAGAACACGCACCAGGCGATGCTCGAGTGTTCTGTCGTCTGCACGTGATCGCGCTCATCGCCGAGCTCGCTCCCTCCCTGCTCACGCTGTCGCACGCGCTTGCAAGCTGGACGGACCTGTACGACGGTAGGTCTAGGTGGCGCTGTTGTAGGTGTAGGTGGCACTAGTGTTCACATTGTCGCACGCCCGCTCGCAGAGGTTGGAACGGCCCGCTTACACGGTAGGTGTAGTTGGCGCTATTGTAGGTGTAGGTGGCGCTGTTATAGGTGTAGGTGGCACTAGTGCTCACGTTGTCGCACGCGCTCGCAAGGTGGACGGCACCTGTACCACGGTAGGTGTAGGGTGCGCCGCTGTGCAGGTGTAGGTGGTGCTAGTGCTCACGCTGTTGCACGCATATACGATGGTACATGTAGGTGGCACTGTTGTAGGTGTAGGTGGCACTATAGTTATATAATTTTTATTATAAATAAAATATAATTGTTTATATATATGTTATTGCACTTCTGTTGCATTGTTTGATCGCTATTTATACGGGCTCGGCACCACGCTCGCGATTCTTTGCGGACAACCGCGCTCATCGATCTGTCAGTCGTCGCCTGCGTGCGTGGTGCAGGCGTCAAGCTTGCTGTGCATCGGCCGTCTGTCATCCATCGCGTCTCTCACGCTGCGCCTCTCAAGCCTCTACTCTTACTTCGCTGCTTGCCTCGGGCCACGCATGCCGACCGCAAGACGAGGTGTCGCCGCCATCTTGCTGGCCGCCTCAGTCGTCGCAACGCCCGGGTTCTTTCCTGTTCGTTGCTGGCCGTCGTCGCCGCGACGGTGGTAGCTCTCCGCGCCACTGCTGCGTCTTTCACGCTTGCCCGCGTTTATCGTCGGTGTTCCCGCGCCCGTCAAGTCTGGCCGGGACGCTGCCGGCTCGTCTATTCAACGGGAACGGAGGAGCACGGGTTTACTACAGAGCAGCGGTGGCGCGCACGACTCGCCTGGCAATGATGCAACCGGATCGCAGAACGGCTGTGTGGGTACGCGCGGCGCGAATTTTACCGAAATTGCTTACATTCCGTTGCGCGGTTGCCGGCTGCGTTTCGAGTTTTTGCTCGAGGCGTTTGCTGCCGGAAGGCACGCGCGACGTTTTGGGCCCGAGTATGAATGCTGCCGAGTCTGCGTTTTTTTTGTGGCGAAGAATATTCTTCACGAGATGCGTTGCTAGCTAGGCTTGTTGTCTACTGATGCGATAATTTGTTCCGTGTTGTTTCGTGCGCGCTGATGCCTTTGTGAACGTGAACTGCACGTAACAATATGCGAATGTGGCGCGGCACATTAAAATTTAATCGGTCAGCATGTTTCTAGTCAAACATGTTGCGGTGTGTTTTTACTGGGTTTCGTTATGGCGATGCGGAAGTTCGCATCTATCTTGCATCGCTTTCAGGACAGAGCTAGTCGGATGCCACGTATTCGAACGAGGTACGGCGTATCGCTGATTCCTCAGTATCAAAGGGTAAATGTCAGCGATAATGGCACACCGCAGGTGCTGCTTATACATGGGAATTATTAATCATTGGAAATTGCTACCTTGTTCGGTTAATTTGCGTATGAGCGGTGGTGCGTGCCATGCGTAACAATGGAAGCCATGTAATTTCTCTAATTTAAGCTTCATTAGTGCGCCACACTGTCGATTATTAATGTGCCTGCACAGTCGCCAAATCCATATATGTGCGTGGAGAGTCACCAATCTAGGTCAGATCACGTCAAGCCAATAGGCTCTGTCATTATCTGCTAAACGTATTGATTGGATTTTTCTGTTGCAATTTGACTTGATATCTCTCCCATTTAATTATAAACGGATGTGTCCCCACTGGTATCATTAGTTCATCATCACTGATGGGGGGGGTTCTTCCCCCCTCCCATGTTCTCCTATTCACTACATGCGCTTCGCCTGTTCTCATATTTTTTCCTGTTTTGTTTCACCATTACTGATCTCTCCCCTGGTTCTCCATTACTCTTGTCTCTCTGTTCTCCATTCTGTTGTCTCTCTCTGGTTCTCCGCATTACTTTCGTGGTCTGTTTTCTGTGTTCTCCCAAGCGGCTCTTGACCACTACAACCTGTCTCTTCCCCCTCTTGACCATCACAACCTGTCTCTTCACCCTCTTGACCACCACAACATGTCTCTTCCCCCTCTTGACCACTACAACCTGTCTCTTCCCCCTCTTGACCACCACAACATGTCTCTTCCCCCTCTTGACCACCACAACATGTCTCTTCCCCCTCTTGACCACTACAACCTGTCTCCCCCACCTCTTGATCACCACAACATGTCTCTTCCCCCTCTTGACCACCACAACATGTCTCTTCCCCCTCTTGACCACTACAACCTGTCTCCCCCACCTCTTGATCACCACAACATGTCTCTTCCCCCTCTTGACCACCGCAACCTGTCTCTTCATCCTCTTAATCACCACGACCTGTCTCCCCCACCTCTTTACCACCACAACCCCTCTCTTCCCCTTGGACTCTCTTCTCTAGGGGTTCTCTCACGGTAACCTGTCCTCTCTCCGCGTGCGCAGGTCTGGAGCTGCAGGAGACGTCGTGTCACACGGAGGAGGCGGCCAGCATCGACGACGTGCTGGAGCAGGCGTTCGAGGGCGGCGGTCGTGGCGGCGGCAAGTCGTGTCTGCTCAACCGTCACCACCTGCACACGCTGACGCCGCGCGACGCCTTCATCGTCGACACGTACTCGGACGCACGCAACGTGCTCACGGGCATCATCGACTCTCCAGAGAATCTCGAGTGAGTGCTCTTGCTGTGCCCCCTCTGTGGATGTCGCAATGGCGGTGGCGACGACGAATTTGTAGCCCCGTGTAGTCGCTGTAGTACTGTGGAATCTTTCGTTTGCTTATCCTAGCTACTGTATTATACGTGGTGCCGTGCCCCCTCCCCATCCTCCCGTGGACGTCATGTGGACGTGACGATGAAGAATTCATAGCCTCGTGTAGTCGCTGTAGTCAAACCTTTCACTTGCTTATCCTAGCTACTACAGTTGAGCCTGGGCTGGCGACCACCTGTGTAAAATGACCAACTGTTCGTAAAGGCCACTTTTGTGTTGAGTGGCCGTTATGTATAGGGTTAACTGTACATTGTATGTATACACTGACAATGAGTTCGTATGTTTGATGTTGCGTGTGGGCACTGTTAGTGGTGATCGGTTTGTGGTAATAAACGTGTTCATGTGAATTCAAGGGAATTTACGTATGGTGAGTAAATATTTGGTATTTAAATGTAAATGTTAAATGTAATGAAAAGTGAATATTTTCAGCTAATAAACTAAGCAGAAGCCTACTACACTCTTACACGATGAACCGGTGGTGTGATATGTAATTCTTCATTTTTACAGGTTAGTTGGGCAGTGCTTTGTACAGTCTCTGTTATGGGTGCTTCTTCACCACATCACCATAGCGCAGTACAAGGATATACCAGATATTGGTAAGCAGGAGCTAATAGTACACTTACGTGATGACACATTATTCTATTTTATTAAACATTTTTCATTTTAGTTTTTTTTATCAATACATCATCAGCTACTTTTGTGTGCAAGCTCATTCTATGCTCTGGAAGTAGTGACTGCAAGATGGGAAACCTATTTTTCTCAGAATGTGCAAAACAACTTTGTTTTTCAACTGCAATACAGGTGGCGCTGATGTTAAAAATGCGAAGACGGATGCGACTACAGATCCCGATGACTCGCCGAAGCATCCTCGTCCACCCAGTTCGCCGCGCGCAGCCAGCGCCATCTGTGTAGAGCGGTCACAGTCTTCCAGGAGCTTTCCGAACAGTGTCTGGTCGGACGACGACACATTCCACGACGAAGCGGCGACCAAACCGCGTGCGGCCGTGGCGACAAACTACGGTGGCGCCCCCGACTCCGCCGACACGACGGTGGCGCTCCTGCGGGAGCTACGCGGGCTCGGCAGCGACGACGTCGACGTCCGCCACTCTCGTCACGACGTCTTAAACTCTGCGCCGTTCGGCAGCGCGATGCAGGTGGCGCCACCGTCGGGAGCGCCGGCGGGCGGTCGAGTGACGGATGCCGAGCCGGCGTTCGCGCATCCCCACGCCACGCCGCCGCGGTGGACGGATGGCGTCGGGGGCTTCGGTCTGCCGGCCCGCGACGCAGAGACGCCGAAAACCGACGCGAAACACCACCTCGACGCGCTCGAGATGACGCTCTTCTCGGCGTCAAAGCTGCCGCCGGCGATGCCCGCCAGGTGGCGGCAGATGCCGGTGCGGGCGGGCGACTGCGCGGGGGTCGCGCCGACCGCGGGCTGGTACGAGCACGTCGTCGACAGCCTGCACACGTCTGGCGCGTCGACGGAGACTGTCGCCGCGCTGCAGCGTGACGCGCACGCGCGCGACATCTACAGCCACGTCGCACTCTCCTGCTACGCCGTCGTGAACCGGCTCGGCACTGCCGGCGCCAGTCTAGCTGAGCTCGGCGCGAGTCACGTGCACAAGTGCTTTCGCGGTGACGTTCCCTGGTCGCCGGCGCTCGACTGGGTGCGGCAGGATGAGGTGCTGTTTGCGCTCATCATAAAGGCCTACCGGTGAGTCGGGCCGAGTGTTAGCACTGCAGCACAGTGTGGGTCGTTGACGCAAACATAAAGAACCGCCTTGACGGCTCATATTATAAGACACCCCGGGGAAGCCCCTTAACTTTTAACCCCTTTGCTTTTGACTTGGTTTTAAAAAAGTAATATATATAATAATAAAATATTATATAAAAGCATACGTTACAAATAATACGTACATAAATAAGTTATGCAGTTTGATTACTACTGAGGATAAATACACGAAAGGTACGACAAGTATGTTATTTACACTGTGGTCCTTTACACTCCATTGTTAACGACCTGATATATATAATAATAAAATATTATATAAAAGCATACGTTACAAATAATACGTACATAAATAAGTTATGCAGTTTGATTACTACTGAGGATAAATACACGAAAGGTACGACAAGTATGTTATTTACACTGTGGTCCTTTACACTCCATTGTTAACGACCTGCAACCTTTGACCTTGCAATATGTGGAATTCCTCATAAAGGTCATCTGCGTTGGTCCATTTATAAATTTTAGTTGATGATAGATATAAGGAATGCAGTGTACTTAACAACACCGTGTGTAAAGGGAAGCTCTAGACCGCTGCTACTGGATGCACTACCGCACAGGGTTCGGCTTATCACTCGATGGCACTGAGCTATGAAGTTAGTGATGAACTCTTGAACAGTTGAACTAAACAAAACTTCATATGACTTGACAGGTATGCAGTGAAGCTGATGTACATCCAAGGATCTCTTGGCCCGCTGGATGACATGGCCGAGCTGGAACACTACCTACATGAGTTTGATTGTGATACCTACATAGGACAGGAGACGTCTGCAGAGTGGGCAGACGCGATATCTGCCGGCAAAAAACACCTGTTTTCGCTGGGATATAACAACCTGGAGGTAAGCCTTTGTAGTCCCTAGTCTCGCGTAGTTGTACAGAAGCTGTACGCGGTCACACGTCTCTCTCGTCCGTATTACAGAAGCTGTACGCGGTCACGCGTCTCTCTCGTCCGTATTACAGAAGCTGTACGCGGTCACACGTGTCCCTCGTCCGTATTACAGAAGCTGTACGCGGTCACACGTGTCCCTCGTCCATATTACAGGAGCTGTACGCGGTCACGCATCTCTCTCGTCCATATTACAGAAGCTGTACGCGGTCACACGTGTCCCTCGTCCATATTACAGGAGCTGTACGCGGTCACGCATCTCTCTCGTCCATATTACAGAAGCTGTACGCGGTCACACGTGTCCCTCGTCCATATTACAGGAGCTGTACGCGGTCACGCATCTCTCTCGTCCATATTACAGAA